TTCAGAGGGGCTCTGGTATACCACTTAAGCAGCTGAAGAGGGGAAGAGCTGTTAGAAATGTGCTTGGAGCTCTGCTACTCATGAAATGACACCAAAGGTCAGACTTTTTTCAGTACCAAAGAGATACACATTATCCTAAGCACCTGGAAAACAGAGCCATGCATTTAAGAAATCAGGAACTTAATTGGTAACTTTTGCCTCATTCTTCTGTAGCCATTAAATACACCGTAAATCAGAAAGCAAATATTCAGTACCATCTCTGACCACATGAAGTTGTTCCTGTTTTTAGTCTCTTTACCCACTCTGAGCCAATCTTGTCCGCATTGCTTTCAGAAGCCTGATTTTATCTTTTTATCACTGCTGCTACAAGACAGCTGATTGCAAAGAACATGTCTGTAATGAAATCAGATGACCCAGAAAAGAAGTGCTAACACCAGTCTAGATTAAAAAAACAAGTACAAGTAGATGTTCTCTCTGACTGCAGGCAGTCCATGTTAAAATGCTGGAGCAATACAGGCACTGTAAAAGAAAGTCCCCTAAATCTGTCCATATACCAGATTGCTAAGCTTCCCTAAATTTTCCACAGGTTTAAGCATGTGGGTGACCTGCTTAAAACAATGTAATTAAAATAAGCGAGAGTGTAATTATCTTTGTTATAAGAAGGCCTAAAGTTTTCTATTATTTTATCCTCAAAAAGCAAAAGCTTTCTTAGATGTATTGTTAAGACCAAGAAACTTACTTTCGCAGGTTCTAGTTTTAGACTCTTTTTAAAAATGTGAGTATTTATCTACTGACACAAAACTTGCTTAATAATACATGCCTGCTCTACTTATTTGTTTCATTCACCTTACAGTTTTCTCTAATATGAGGAAAGGACCTTCATAAAAGAACAGATTTTTTTATGTGCCAAACCCAGGCCTTACCAGACTCCAAAAACAAGTATAGCAGCACATGTCTTCATCCAGGCTTCTATTAACCAGATGCTTTTTATCTGCTCTGACTCAAAAGGCTAATGCAAAGGAAAATAATGCTCTCACACACAGAAGACTTCAAATCCATATCAACTGGTTTTCCCTGCTTATCAGACTCCAAGCTTTTTCTTAGCCTCTCAATAAATCCCTCCTATTCACAGTGTCTCCCAAAGATCATAATAAAATTAAATATTTATCTTGCATTCCCAAATGGAGTGTGCACACATGATGGAATTAGGAAATCATGAAGCAGAGAGAACTGGACACCAGAAGAGCCATACAAAATCACCCAGAGCCATTAAATTTAAGAGATTTCAGCCGCTGTCAAGCATATCTGGACTAGCTGAGGAAGAAAGAAGTTCAGTTTAAAAGAAGACCATATGAAACAGCTCTAATTCCTCCAGGTGAAAGGGGTTTGTGTTAACATACTACAGTACCATTATAGTTCACACTGCCAACAGCAACACATCCATCAGCAATGCCAGTGAATATTTTAAATTACATCTGTCCTACTGTTCACAGCTAGGTCTGCCCTGGGAGCAGGAAACCAACTTAACTCCAGCCACTCCCTTCCTGTTCACGCTGACTGCAGACACTGGGATCTTGGCAGTGCCAGAGGAAGACAAAGCTCAACCTCCATCTCCCATTTGAGAGGTAAGGTGTGCAGGGCTTAAAACTGCTTTGTAGGATGGAAGAGTAAACATCTTAGCACAGAGGGTCTAGGATACTGTTTGTAGTCAAATCCAAACCTCTTGAGCCCAAGGCCAGAATTCTCCTTTACTGCAGAGCTGACATTCCAGTCTGAGAGTTCATATTTCATAGTAAAAAAGTAATGAAAGGAGCTCCCATATTTCCTGGTTAACATTTCAGCCTTCTAAAGGGTAATAAACCACTATCTCCCTACAACAACAGATAAGCCAGACAAATAAAATGTCAAACTACTTTAGAAATAAGCTAGTCAAGATAATAGAATGAATCTCTTGAGTAGCCATTAATAGCATTTGGCAAAGATGATTCCAGAGGACATATGATATCTAATACAAAAGGATGTACTATTTTCGTATCTCCCCTTTAAAATTAATTTAGTGCTGACAGGAAGATACCTGCTTAATATCTAAAACTTTCTCCACATTCTTAGGAAGAATGGTAACACTAACAGTCCTATGAAAAAACCAAAGCAGAGGTTGAATGGCCAGACAGAGGGAGCCCTGTGCCGAGACTCAAGGCCAGGGATCCTTATCCCAGTTCTCCTACCAGCCAAGTGACCATGGGGGCAAACTGCTTTTCCTGTCACACATCTGCAGTGTGAGATTATCACATACTTCACAAAACACTGAGATCTATCAGCACAGAGCGTGCTGCAAGAGTGTGTTTTTATTATCACTGAATTCTCTAGCTACACAACTAACATAAAGGGAATAAAAACTCTATATCAACCAAATAAGCAGCTAAGTTGTGAGTAAAAAAGCAATATGGGATACAGACATATTTATTTGCTTGCATTGCTTCCTGCAAAACAAAAACGACAGTCAGAGCCCATATTAGCAATTACTTGGCGTCACAAAACAAGAATATATCAGCTAGACCTAACTTTTTCTATTGTGCTTTCTGAATGACTTGCCATTATCACCATAATACAGCATGAAAAATACTGCACTCTTCAGCTTCTATTTTTTGATTAACCAGGTGCTCTGGGAATTTCTGTCTATCCCCATTTGTAATTACTAGTTGTTATTGACATTTTCAATGTGAGTTACTGGCAATTAAATCTATTTGGAAAGAAAAAAAAAAACTTTTCTTCTTCTATAGAAATGACTTACTTATTTTTAAAAATAAACCAGACCTATAAGGTTAAAAATCTAATTCTGATCCTTCCTTCTGCCAAGTTCTGATTAAGTTTTCCTTATTTTCCAGTGGCTCTGAAGAGAATTGGAGAAATTCACCAGCTCTCGTAAGGCAAGTGGGAACTCTGGAGAAGTTTGAAGAACGATAATGAAAGCCCTTGCAGCAAGTCTTCCATAATACCAGTTATCCTCAGGTACCAGCCCTCTGAGCTGGAAGGCAGAGATGGGGAGCAGAACGAAGCCCTAATAATTCAGGAGGACAGGTCAGTGACCTGCTACACATCTAGACATACACAAGGCTATAGGTCCTGATAGGATCCACCCAAGGGCACTGAGGGAGCTCCTGGAAGAGTTTCCCAAGCCACTTCCAACCATTTGCCAGCTGTCCTGGTGAACCTGGCTCCCAGATGACTGAAGTCACCAATTGTAATGTCCATGTACAGAAGGGTGGGAAGGAGGATTTGGGGAAGGACAGACTTGTCAGCCTGACCTTGGTGCCAGGGAAGGTCATGGAGCAGATTGTCCTGGTGCCAGCATGTGGCACACACTGGACAACCAGGGGATCAGGCCCAGCCAGGATGGGTTTGTGAAACCATCTGCTTCTTGACCAAACTGATCTCCTTCTATGACAAGGTGATGTGTTTAGTGGATGATGGAAAGGCTGTGGATGTGTCTATGTGAACTTTAGTAAAGCCTTTGACACTGTTTCCCACAGCACTGTCCTGGAGAAGCTGGCTGCTCATTGGCTTTGGGTGGGTGCATTGCTCACTGGCTAAAAACCTGACTGGATGGCTGGGCCCAGAGGTGGTGGTGAGTGGTAGGTAACAAGTGACAGGATGAGAGGAAATGGCCTAAAGTTGCACCAAAACAGGTTTAGATTAGATATTAGGAAAAACTTCTTCACTCAAAGGGTGGTCAGGCATTGGAATAGGCTGCCTAGGAAAGTGCTGCAAAGTCTCAAAAATCTGTGGATGAGGCACCCCAAGTGACATGGTTTAGTGGTGAACATGGTGATGCCAGGTTAATGGTTGGACTAGATGATCATGAAGGTCTTTTCTAACCTTAACAATTCTATGAATCTAAGTGCTGGGGAATGCAATAAGCCAAAGAAGACTGAGGAAAGCATTTTTGAGGGCTGTCTTGCACAATGCAGTTCTCCCCTTGCTTGAAGTGCACAGAGATAAAGCAGTAAGAAACACTGAATTTGCAAATCTTTTCCCTGGTCCTAGATTCCTGGTCCTCTGCATTCACAATTTGGGCTAAAAATCAGAGTTTCACCTTCAGGACTTCCATTGCCATTTATAGATGGAAAAGGGCTTTTCAGAGTGAGATTTTTTCACTTCTTATTGATTACTGCTGTCAAAGGAGCCTTTAGGTTTTCTCCATCCTGTCAGCCCTAAGGTGTTTAGTATGGCAAACCAGCCTCCTTGTCAGCAGTGAGGCAAGAAGCAGGAAGAGCTAAAAAAACCAAACGCTGGCAGGGAAAGCAAAGCATTATTCTTTTCCACAACAACTCCACTCCTAACATCAGGCATGCAGGTATAAAGCCTTTTCATGGCACAAAGATCCTTTAAAATCTCTCAGAATCTACAACCTGACAGCTTCTGGTCTAGACTCCTTGTCTGTGCGCAAGTACTCCATTGACACAGGCAGCCTTTCCCCCTTCTTTGTGTCAGGAAAGGAGCACCACAGTGTGCCACTTCTGCACAAGGTCATCTCCTTGTCTGTACAGCAGAAGTGACTATTCTGGTTAAATCTCACCTCCCTGTGACAACACACTTGAGATAACAATTCACACTACCTGATTTCCATGGTGAAATGCTACCTGGGAGACTCACATTTCTTTTGTATGAAGTACAAACACTTACTATATGCATAATCAAATACATTCACTGTCAGCCCAAGCAGATGCCCCCAGCACTCATTCACCAAGTTTATGCAAAAGGTCCCACACCAGGAAAAAAACACTTCTCCTTAGTCTGTAAAAACCACCTTAAATACTCAATATAACAAATTTCTGCAGAGGAACAGATGTGGCTTGATGTTTTTTTTCCTGCACACTTTATACAGCAGTGCTGTGCACAATGCTGTAAGGATGAGCAAGTAAACATGGTCTTAAGAGTTGTACCCTCCAAATCATACAGTCATCCTGTGTGAATATTTACAGTAACAAAGAAAACAAAGAAGCCTCCCACTCTTCTTCAAACCTTGCCTGGAAGCTCTGCAGAGTTAAATATATAACAATACAAAAAGAACAAAATCCTAACCATGCATAAAATTGGGTCAATCCAACTGCTGAAGGTTTATGCTTGCTGCATCTCCTTGACCTAAACCTGTAATTCGGTTTGTGTGGGAATCCAGGGCTTCCCTCTGGCTGCCCTGGAAGTTCTGGGACCCTGGCAGGGGGTCAGGAACCCCCCTGGACAGAGCCCCGAGAGACACTGTCTGTGATCTCTGTCCATGGAGAGGAGTTTTCAATCTTACAGGATGAATTACAAGCTCTGAGTGTTTGATAAGAGTAATAATTAAGTGTGACACGGGTGCAAGGGTAAAATTTTAGATTTCTAGATTAGGGGTTCAGAGGGGACAAGATGGAGGAATTGGGTGTGTGTCTTGTCCTTTTCCTCCTTCTTCATGCCCTCCATGTTTCACTGTAGTGTTGGCATTTTTCTATTGGTTTAGGCTGGGGGCACACTGTTCAACGTAGGTGATAGATATTGGCACATTATTGTAAATATAGCACAGGTAGTTTCTGGTATATAATGTTTGTACCATCCCACTGGGGGCAGAGCCCCACACGCTGCCCTGCAGGACAGACCTGTGGCAGGGCAGCAGAACATGTTAGAGATAAGCAAGAATAAACAACCTTGAAAACAGCACAGATGAATTATGGCTTCTTCTTTGGCAATGGGGCAGAAAGACAGAGACTTTCTACAATCTCGGAATCACCAATACCCACAGATTCCGACAGGTTTGAGAGTTGAAAACAAAGTTGTTCAAGTATTGACACAGTAATTCAGTAAATAAAACAAAAACAAACAAACAAACAACAACAACAAAAAAAAAAACCCACAAAAAAACCCCAAAAAAACACCCAAAAAAACCCCCCCAAAAAAAGCTAGTCCAATTAAAGACTATATTGGTGGGTAAATTATGGCCACACTACCAACAACTACACTACCCGCTCCATTTAATTGCAAAACCTACATGGATAGAACAGCACTTTTGAGGGGCTTATGTAACAACAGGTACTTTAGTTTTCACATACAAAATGAAAGGAGAAAAAGAAACAAAAAGTTATTTTCTAGCATAAATCACCGAGATTTTATTCATTCAATTCGATTGACACAGGGTAAGGTTAACAATATAGAACAGATCTTAATTCCACTAGTAACTTCACATGGAAGTTATAGATTCAAAGATACACATCAGAAACAAAGAAAATACATTTAAAAAGTGGGGGGGTGGGAGGAAACAAATAAACCCCAAACACCATAAAACCAAAGCAATCCAAGAGCTAGAGATGTAAGAGCAGGAGGAGCGTTACTGAAAATCAAGCAATGTAAAAACTCCTAAGAGACACCACCCTTTCTAGGGTGTGAAATTAACCAAGTCAAATGTTGATAACAATTAACATCAGTGGACTTCAATTCCACTTCACACTATGGACCTTGAAAATCCTCAATTTACCTGTGCTGCAGAAGTCCACAAGCCTACATGGACTGAAATAATCACCTGCAATTCCCAGTGAAAAGAGACACCATGTAATGGTGATTGTTTCTTTGACTGTCTTCAGTAGCTTGCAAACAGTGAGTACTTACTATTTGCTATCACCTGTATTTTCTTTTAAACTGCAAGCCAGAAATTATTTTTCTTTCTAGTTTTCTGACAAAACCTCACTTTCCTCAGGTAGGGACTGGTCACTCTGTCGCCAGTCACTCTTTAAAGGAAATTAAAATAGGAAGTATTTTAAATAAAATAAAAGGGAAAGACTGAACCTCTATTGAAAAGCTTCACCACTTCAGATATATCCACTTGGAAGTTATTACAGTGTTTTATTTCTAGCTTTAGCCTTCCAGAAGATTCAGAAATATTCTTCCCTACAGGGCTTTAGAAGGAACTGAACATAAACACCAATGTATCATCATCTTCCTTTCTGTCTACTTCAGGAGCTGCACTTTGAGATTACCCCAAATATATCTCAGTTTCTCAGCCATTTGTTGCTGGGTGATCAACTACATAGGTACAGCAGCTCTGTCAGGTGCTGCAGCGTCTCTTTTTTTAATCTGTTTATCTGTCCTTTCCTTCCCACAGTGTGTTCTTCTACACCTTCACTGTTTTTATAACATGATTTCAAAAAACATGGGGTTTTTTCCTATTTAAAATACATATGCTGTGCAAAAAAATTCAGATTTGGGGGAAAAAATGAAGATTGGCAGATTTCATGCATGACTTCAGGTTTTATTTATTATTTCAATTTTTTTTTCCTTATACAGTGAATTCTCATAATATACCAGCATTTGTCATAAATCAAACAAACTGAAAAAAATTTATCTGAGTATGAAAGAAAACAGTTGTGCTCAGTGTTTAGGTAAACAGCAGCCACATCATATGAAGTTTGCCAGTAAGAAAAAACAAGGATCCTGGGCCAATAATTCAATTCCCACTTCAGTCCCCTCACACAAAGAGCTCAGTACAATGTCTTTCCAGGCCACCACACCCCAGAGGAAAGAAGGAAACACAACCCACATCAGCAGTAAGCAACATCTGCTGGTACCAGTCTGATCCATTATATTAACTGTACTACTTTCTGCAGCTTGTCATTTCTACTCTCTACAAAGCCATTCATCAAGGCCTGCAGTTGAAATGTAATTATCTACTCCAAATGTTATTTCAAATCAATAAATTGATCACAACTGCTCACGTACCTGATGGAGGAATGGGAACTCAGAGCACTTGGTGTGATCCCAGTTGACAAGGTGGCCTCTCTGCAACCAGCACACTGGGGACCTGCAAAACAAGAGCCTGTGTGTCAGAAGTTGCATGTCTTTTACAAAATACAAGGGAAAAAACTTTCTAACCGTGCCTTTGAGAAGGACAAAAGAGACTCCTGCTCATTAACTATGCTAAACCCACTGGATTGAATCCTAATAGAGAAAATCCTGGCAAGGTGGGACTGTAAAGGATGGTGCATGAAACTCCAGCTTGGCTCCTGGAGTCATCAGAATGACAACACCCACCAGTGGCAGCAGCAGCAGAGCAAGCGGGAGACATCACATTCGAAACTGGTGGGATCATGTTCTTCACTCTCAATGAGATTTAAGCCCCTTTTTCCCATAGGCACTTCTGAACATCACACATAGCATGCATCCACTTAGGCATATGTTCAAGCACTTCATTAGAACAGGGCAGCATTATCAGCTTCTTTGCATAGTCTGAATCCTATTAAACACTGGATCAGATATGAGCACTTCATCCCATTAAACACTGGATCAGATACGAGCACTTTATGGACTTGAGACTCAAAAAACCATGTACATAAATCCAGAATATATAATGTATAAATCTAATACTGGGTTGGGGGATGAAGTTCATTGAAAAACAAAATACAAGAAACTGAAAAGAAAAATTAAAAATCAGATTTCTAATATCAAAATATTTTCATAAAACACAGAGCATTGGAATCTGTCTTGTGTACTATTTTGGTTTTTAAGGAAGTTATAATTCTGATCTTTTTTTGTATAACCACAGAAAATAATTTTTCATTTATAGCTTTAAAAGAAAGCAGAGCTCTCCCCAAAATATAATGCACACAGAAATTGAAAAGAGTTTATTAAATTTAAAAAAAAAGAACCCCATCAGTAGAACAGCAAAAGGCATCATTATATACAAAATAATGAAGTAACTACATATTGTACTGGGCAAGACAGGGCAGATGTAAAATTAAACCTTCATCTCAGATCAGGTTGCCCACATGATGTCCTGTGTAAAAACTTAACTTCACAGAATCTCAGCCTGGTTGAGGTTGGAAGGGAGCCCTGGAGGACATCTGATCCAACTGTGTGGTTCAAGCAGAGGCACTCAGAGCCAGTTGCCCAGAATTGTATCAGACAGCTTTTAAATATCTCCAACCACAAGGCTGCACAACCTCTCTAGGCAGCCTGTGCCAGCACTCAGTCACCCTCACAGCAAGAGTATTTTCCTGATGTTCAGGCAAGACTTCCTCTGTTTCAGTCTGTGCTTCTGTTCCTGTCACTGGGCACCACTGAAAAGAGCCTCACTCCAATCTTCTTTGTACCCTCCCTTCAACTATTTATATAGAATGATAAGATTCCCCCTGAGTCTTCTCCTCTAAAAGCTGAATAGTCCCAGCTCTCTCATCTCAGCCCTTCTCCGTCACTCATCTCTGTGGCACTTCACTTCCATCATGATAAGACTCACATACAAATGCACACTACTGCCAGGAGCCCAGAGAACTTGAGAAGAAATTATTAACCAGGTGCTATGGCTCTATTCATGCTTCTCATCCCCCACCACCCCAATTATGGACTGGCTGAAAGGCTTTCAAGGGAAGGCTTTTAAGTGAAGAATGTTAAAAGTAGAGTAAGTGTTTTTATGCCAATACAATGACTTCCATAGTTATTAAGGCAGAATTAGTATACTTGGAGTAACAGAAATCATCAGGAATGGACAACTAAGAGTCCAGTTTAATCCTCAAAGACAAGATGCTTTAAGACCTAACAGCCTGACTGAAACCAATGATATCAGAGAGAGATCTAACTCTTCCAAAAGGCCTGCAAGGCGTTTGATGCTTCTTTTACCAGTAGGCTTTCCCTGCTTTTGGTTCAAAGTCATCCAAAAGGGTGAACTTCAAACACCTGTTTCAAGTGAAGAGTATGACACTGGAGGATGCCCTTCATTCAACCAGACAGACTCCATAGGAACAAACACAGATGTTCAGCACTCCTATCTTCTACTTCATGAGTTAAAAAAAAAAAAAAAAAAAAAAAACACAAAACCAAACCTGTGTGGTCTAATTACTGAATAAATGAAACAGATTAAATAGATTAGACAGTCAGAAGAAATAAGGCCATTCCTTCCCATTTAACCACACACTCAGTACAGGAGATGTACCAATAATTGCATAAATTAAGCAATTCAAGTACAGCACTAGAAGATCTTTCAGGAAAGAAGTGATTCTAGATGAGAAAGGACACTATGACCTACTGATTGCATCAATGTGTTCTTACCCACTTCTGAACACTTCTGCTGCCTAGAACAGAATTACTGTTGTCAGGCACAGCACCTGAAGTGCCATCCAAGGTACAAAATCTGCTCTCCCTCATAATGTCTTTTATCCAAATTGCATCCATACCACATGAACAGATGATTCACAACTGGGAAAATGCATCCAAAGTCTATTTCCCAGCAGCTTTTAAGAGTGAACTTTATAGAAGTGAGGCATGAATGGAGATCATCTTGGGAGAGTGTTTTGCAGTAAAAAGGACCTCACTGGGACAAATGTGTCTTTATTTTTGTTTCCAGCTTATTAGAAAGAAGAGAATCCCATATTTGTTCCATTTTCAAATACTAAAAGAAACAAAACCAACAAAAATTTGAGTAACTTACAGGTGGAAGAATTGTTTCTACAATGTTTCTGCTGTGTTTCTGAGCCAAGAAAGTGCTTGTATGTCTTCTGTATACTTGATCTAGCTTGATTTATAGCATTAGAGAATTTGCTTGACCTAATGAACTCTCAGAGATCTCCACAACTTTAACTCTTTTGCTATAAATCCTTCTGTGTTTTAGCACCGTGATCTACCTATAAAAACACAACTGACCAGACACATAGGCCAGAAATAAATTCTGAACTTTTGCCTGAAGCCAAGGAGAAGCTCTGTTGCCCACTTAATGAAACATATCTATGGGAAACAATGCTAAAATCTAAAACTTAATTAATTATAAAATTATGATAAATAAATGAATAGAACAGGAATCATTATTAAAATCTAAAATAGATTTCTTCCCTTTTC